GGGTACAGGGTGCTGGGGGTGCTGGGACAGGGGCATTTCAGCCTTCTCTTGGCCAATGAGAGCTGAGCTGTAACAGCTAGCACCTTCAGACCATGGCTCCTGACCCTGACCCTCCTGGGCCCCACCTCTCCCTTATTCTTAGAGGGAGGAGGGACTTCTGCCTCTCCTAAAGTTTCTGGAGTCCTGGCAGGACTCCACCACTACCGTCTAACCAGACTCTGGTGGCCCCCACCTCTTTTCACATATTCTGTCATTGCAACTTGGAGGATGCTGGGCCCTGCAAGGCACCAGCCCACACCCCAAGGCTGGCTCAGCCTCCTTCACTCTGCCCTGGAGACAGACCAGCTCTGGTCCTGGCCCCTGGAGCAGAAGGGGTTTCGTCATAACGATTGGCAAGATTGCGATGATGGCGTGAAGTGCCACAGAAGAAACCAGGGCAGCCTCTCAACTCCATGCTTTTGTGTTAGGGCCGCGGGCCACCAGCTGCACGACGCTCTGGTTGGTGTGTCTGCTGAGATGGGGCCACAGTCGAGCATCTTCCTAGAGCCAAGGGACACATCAACCTGAACATTCTTGTCCCCGTGGCATGCTGGGGAGTCTGATGGGTGCTAAGGCTCCTTGACTCTAGCTGCTTCCCTGCAGAACCACAGAATGGTCACTGAGTCTACAACTGAGTTGTCCTGCCCAGAGGTGGAGGGGAGGGGGAAGCCAGTTCTTGTGTCCAGGGGAGGCTGTTTACCACCTCTCCCCACCTTGGAAACTCTGTTCTTGGCAAAATGAAAGGAATAAAGTCTCCTCCGAACCATGAGCCAAGAGGGTTAGCCCTGGTGTGTTGTGATTGAGGTTGAGGGCCCCCTGGCTGTGGCCCAAACAACATTTTGCCCAACCCAGCCCAGCCCAGCCTCTCTGGCTTCTCAGGACCCCAGGGAAGAGGCAAGCCCCATCATCATAAAATAACAGGGTGTTCAAGCCAGCTGGAAGGGACTAGAGAGACGTCTTGCCCACCTGTCATTTTAGCGATGAAGATATACAGTTTGCCTGTGAGAATCTTTAATTCCCTACTCACCGCCAGTGTTTTCATATAAAAATGAGGTGCCTGAACTCATATCTTGATAAATGGTAAAATTCCTCTCCCATCCCCATTCTGATCTTGAGCTCCCTTCCCATCTCCATTGAAAATGGCACGTGAACTGCTTGTTCCAAACCCGGAGGAGCAAAGGTAATTTATGTCAGCAGAACTGTGTCAAAATTGCTCTGATCAAAAGGTGACAGTGCTCCACACCTGGGCGGGCAGTTACAAGGCATGGAAGCATGTGCCCTGGGTTGGGTAGCCTGGACTCCAGGCAAGTCCCAGAGGGGTGAACTAAACCCTTTCCCCCAGGCAGTCCGATGCCCCTATCCACAATTTTTGGGTTTACGACCCAAAAGGGGCTTGGGCAGACCTAGAACTGGGGAGTCAGTGTTAATGCCGATCTCCAGGCACAGTCAGACGCAGCCCAGTCAGACCGTATCATGTCACATGGAGGGAAGTGAGCGGGACTGAGGTGGTAGGAGGGGATGCTGTTCCGAAAAATCTTTACCGTCCCCTCTAGGTTGATCTCAGTTTACCGCCAGGCGGCACAGTGCAGAAATGACAAGCCTGGACTCCCGGGGCCAGGGGAGTAAGTGCTTCCAGATTGGTCCTGATGGCCACACTGCCCTCTCATAATTGGCTGGATGGACAGTGAAGTCCTTCCCCTGCCCCCGCTACTCTGGCTTCATTCAGGGGCACCCCCACAAACACTTGCACCCTTTAACCAACAGTGTTCTGGCAACGGCATGTTGTCCAACTGTCTGGGGACTGACCAGAGTGTAAAGCTGCCCCAGTGGGGAGCTGAATCTCTTGCCAGCCTGGGCCCTTGTCTGGTACTACCAGGAGTGGGATGGTTACCCCCTGCCCTGGGAGGGGTTGGGGCCACATCCAGCTGCCCAGCTGTCCGGGTGCTGACATGAAGTGCACCCCAGAGCTGCTCGGGTTTCCCCCTCGGGCCTGCCCCAGCGGCTGAGCCAGCATCCCAAACATCCTCAGGCTAAATAAGGAGCCCGCTTAGGTCATGGGGCGGGGCTGGGGTCCGGGGGGGGGGGGGGGGGGGGCTTGGGGCAACCAAGCCAAACAAGGCAAGGAGGGGAGCGATGTATAAAACCAGGGCCCTGGGCTGAGCACCTGTCCGTTTCCCTACTGTGCCTTCCAGAAGTGCTCTGTCCCACCTGCTACCCAGCTAGTGGACCCAAGTCCCGAAGTCAACCCGCCCACGGTGAGTCCCTATTCTCAGACCAGCCCCAGACACTCCCAACCCCAGGATGTTCTGAATTGACAGGGGAAAAGCTGAAAGTCAAAGTCTCTGTGTCAGCCTAGACCCCATGTTTGTTTTGCACTCCCCAGATGTCCAAGGCAGCTCCCGCCAAAAAAACAGCCGCTAAGGCCCCACCTCCGGCATGTACCCTGGATATCAACGACCCCCAGGTCCAGAGAGCGGCCATTCGCATCCAGGCCTCCTACCGGGGCCACAGGTGAGGGGGAGCCCGGAGCCCTCAGGAGGAGGGGAGCCAGAACTGCAGAAAGCGCACTGCTGCGTGGGGGTGGGTGGCAGCTGAGCAGTGTTATGGACCGCTGGGTTCACTGGACTTAGGGGAGAGCGCTTGGCGAGGTGTGGAAGGATGGCCGACAAAAGCAAATCATTTCATCAGGGTAACAATTCAAGAGCAGGCTCGCTCCCAACCCACCCCCACATTTAAAGTTCTAGCGGGCCGAGGGGGCGGGCAGGGGATTTGGTGCGGGCGATCCAGATCCGCGTGGTGGGAGCTCTGGGCCCTGACCCGGCTCTCGGATAGGTCCCGGAGGGAGCTTCGCGAGAAGGGGCCGCCACGAGTGCTGGAGCCGCTGAAGGACGTGGTGCTGATCGAGGGCAGCGCGGCCAAGCTGACTTGCCGCATTTCCGCTTTCCCGGACCCATTCATCCGCTGGAGCAAAGACGGCAAGGAGCTGCGCGACGGGCCCAAGTATCGCTACGTCTTCGAGGACCCTGACGTAGTCGCCCTGGTGGTGCGCGACGGCGAGCTGGCCGACCTGGGCCAGTACAACATCAGTGTAACCAACCCCTTCGGCCAGTGCTCTGACTCGGCGCGCATCCTCGTGGAAGGTACGCGCGCCCCGGGTGCGGCGCCACCACTGAGAGCCGCACCGCCTCCCGGCGCGGCAGCGGGGTCCACTCAGCGCGCTCTCACCGCTGGGCCTAGCCGAGTCCCCATGGGGTTGCGGGCACAGGCTGGGGCGCGGCGGCGCGCGGGCTGGCTAGCCCTTCTTGCCTCAGGATCCCATCCCGTCCCCCTCCCCCCCAAGACGGAGAAGTCCGCTATGGGCTCCAATCACTCCACTCCAGGGCCCCAAGGTCACAGGGAGCCAGAGGCAGAGCCAGGGTTAGGGCCCGGGCCTCCTGGCTCCGCCCCAGGGCAATGTTCAGTCCTCGGAATTGTCTCCATCCAGGGTACCGAGATATGTAAACGTTCCCGGGCTTTCACTCATAGTATCTCTTTCGATCCTCCATCCCGGGGTGGGAAGGAGCAGGGGCAGCTACTAGTCCGGTTTAACAGCTGAGGAAATGAAGCCCCAGAGAGGCTAGACTTGCCCAACGTCACACTAGGAGTTTAAATCCATCTCATATTGAGGGCAGGGTATTATCTGGGGATCTGGGGAAGTGATGCCCCTGCCCCGCCTCACCCCTAAGGACCCTCACTGGGTCGCACGCCCTTTCCCTTCTTCTAGTCCCTGCGAAGATTCAAAAGGGACCGGATAACACTAAGGCACGCAAAGGCACCACGGTGACTCTGACCGCGGAGATCATGGGCGAGCCTGCGCCCGACGTCGGCTGGACCAAGGACGGGGAGGACATCGAGGAGGATGACAGGCGAGGGCGGGGACCTGCCGCTGGGGCGGAACGGGGCCCAGAACCCTGGCGAGAGTGGGCCGGGGGCGGGGAACGCGAGCTGAGGACCAGAGCTGGCTAACCAGCCTGGCCCCGGGCGCCTGTAACCTGACCTCGGCCCGCCCTCCCCGCTCCTCCTCTCCCTTCCAGGGTGTTCTTCGAGATCGGCAGTACCACCACGACGTTGACCATTCGCCGGGCCACGCCCGAGGACAGCGGCAAGTACGAGGTGTACGTGGAGAACAGCCTGGGCATGGACCAGAGCTTTGCTCGCGTGGACGTGGCCTGAAAGGAACGCTCGGACCGTTCGCCCTGGCTCCAAGCCCCGGGGTGGGTGGGACCGACGACCCTCCTCCATCTTGCTTAATAAAGCTGCTCTCTCTGACCCTCCGCGTGTTCTGGTCTTTGGGGACGCCGTTTCCTCTCCCCTGCGCTCGCACCCACGCTTACTCCGGACCCACACACCAAGGTCACAGAATGTTGGGGTCGGAATGTTTGGAGAGTGCCTGGCTCAGTGCTTTATGTTACGGACTGTAAGTCTGAGATAAGCTTTCTCTCACCGTCCGGAGCTCCTTCGTTTCCCAGTGGGACCGCGCGAGGAGCTTATGACTCCGCCTTCTCTTTTTCTGCCTACCTCAGGCCCCAGCCACTCGCCGCGGTTGGCGTCCTCGCCACGCCCATCTCACGGATGGCCACACCCCCTCTCGTCTCTAGGCCCGCCTCTCCCTGTGACCCTGTTCCCACTTCAGCCGCTACTCCTGGGCCCATTCCCAGACGGTTCAAGATCCTAATCTCAGCTTCCAGCCTCTGCCTCTTAGGCCCCCCAGCTTCTTCTCTTTAGCCCCGCCTCCTAGATACCTTGGCCACGCCCCCTTGTTCTCCCATAAGTCCCACCTCCCCCCTCTCTTGTAGTTAGAAGCGCGTGGTGGGGGGGGAACGGGGGAGGGCTACGGGAAACGACAGGCTCTTAAGAACTACTATTCCCGGCATACTCCGCGAAGGAGTTCTCGCGAGTCGCGAGAAGACACGTGCGCGGAAGGAGCAAGCAGTAGCGGACGACAGCTGGAATAAAGAGAGCTAGTGGTAAAGGTTGCTGATGGAGGGGTGGCGAAAGGGGTAGAGGGCAGGAGACGGCCCCTACACCGAGGGCTGCTCGGAGGTCCCGGCTGGCCCTTCGGAGGTCCGTTCTTGTTAGTCCCACAACCCCTGGCTACGCGAGGCTAGGGTTTATTAGACGGAGTCAGTTGTGGCGTTCAGAGGGTCAGCAATCAATCCTGCGAATCCAGAGTTTCAGACTTGTCGCCAATATTGGGACCCGGGGGAGGGGGGTAGATTCCGTGTTTGAGATGCCGAGGGAATCTGTCTTTTGATTCAGGGTTCAGCACTTAGAGGTTAGTTTTAGAATTCAAATTCAGCATATTATAGAGGGTTTTGCTTGGACTTGGGATGCATCAGATGCAGACCAGTGTTACTTTATTGGGATTCATTCTTAGGATCGCAGTTAAATATCTGGGGCTCACTCAGGATTTGAGATTCAGTATTCAGGGTTCACTGTTGGCATTCAGGGCTTAACATCTATAGCATAAGAATGTAACAATTGGGAATCAGTGGGCTTGGGGTTTCCGGTTTTTGAGGTTTGGGGTCTAAGAGATCTGTCGCTGAGTTTCTGAGTTTGCTGAATGTGTCTATAGCCAGAGGGAAGCCTGTTGGATAAATTGTGAGGTGTGAATTTCAGAATTTAGGAGAAATCGCTGTGGAGTTTTAAGGCCAGTTGGAATCTGGGTTGGGGTTTGAGATGTATGGGATTTGTGAGGTGTTGTGTCAAAGGAGGGACTATATTGAATTTTGGATTTACATCCTGTGAGAGGGCTAAGTGTTGCTCTTTGGAGTTTGGGGTTTGCTTGGGATGTGAGTGGAGTTCTTGGGCTGGGGTGTGGGATCTGAGCCTGATTTCTCTGTTGCGACTTGAGGTTTAGGTAGCAGTTGCCGCCATGCTCAAAGCTGTGATCCTGATTGGAGGCCCTCAAAAGGGTGAGGAGCCCAGGGAAAGGGGTAGGGAGGTTGGGCTGGAATGACTGGGGGATGGAGGCAGAGGGAGGCAGGAAGCTGAAATGTGCTTCTCTCTCCTCTCTCAGGGACCCGCTTCAGGCCTTTGTCTTTTGAGGTGCCCAAGCCCCTGTTTCCAGTGGCGGGGGTACCTATGATCCAGCACCACATTGAGGCCTGTGCCCAGGTAACCCCAGAGGCTCCCCCTCCCACCTCACTTCCTGCTCATCTCCTTCCTGCTGTATTCCCCCCCCCCCACCATGTCCTGTTCACACCAGGCGTAACTCCAGGGACTGCCATTTATAAATGACAGTGTGAATGGTGTCCCTCGGAGTTGTGCAGTACAGCTGCCCTGCTGTCTTCGCTAATCTGGTCTCTCATCTGGCCTCTTCTTGTTCAGATTTCACTCCTATTTTTAAAGCATGGAATGCGAGATCAGGCAGGAATCTTAGAGACCATTTAAAGCAACAGCCTGAGGAACCTGAATGATAGCAAAACACGGAACTCAAACCCTTGCTCACTGTGGAGCTAATTTCTTTATTGCTTTAGGCATTGGGACTGGCAGGGTTTTATCTGGATCCAGTCTCTGCCTGGAGAGTAAATTTACTTGAGTAAATTCCTCGCCCTTTCTGGGCCTTAGTTTTCTTACTGGTCAAATGGGGTGATTAAGCCTACTTTGTGGGGCGGCAGGGCTTAGAGATGATGTTGGTAAAGTGCCTAGTGCAATGTAGGCACTTGATAAATGGTACCCTTATCTCATGCTGATCTCAAGCTCATATTGACAGATAATAAATATGGGGGAAAATGAATGGATTATCTTTTCATGCAGTTTGGTAGGCAAGATCTTTCCTAGGGTGATCCTCAGATGTGGGGATGGGGTCAGGGGAACAACAAAATCATAAAAGATTGAAAGATCAGGGACAGACCTCTTTGTCTGGAGGAGAACACAGGCCAGGGTGGTAAAGTGAGTACCCACAGCTGATACCAAAACTATGGTCTCTGGACTCCTGGGCCAGTACCAGGGGTTCCCCCAACATTCCTTCCTATCAGATATGTTCTTTTTCCTCCCAACCTCTTCCCTTGCTCTCAGGTCCCTGGGATGCAGGAGATTCTGCTCATTGGCTTCTACCAACCTGACGAGCCCCTTACCCGATTTCTAGAGGCTGCCCAGCAGGAGTTTAACCTTCCCATCAGGTGTTTGTGCACATGTGCCGTATGTGGGGTATGGGGTGTGGGGGCAGTGCCAGAGGCCTCAGAGTTCTGGTGAGTGGGTTGAGTCAGCATCTGGCAGACTTCACCATTATATACCAGGAGGGGTCTAATTTGGGTATCTCTGAATCCCTGAGTATATTGGCCTCAGGCAGGTGTATTTCTGGGAGCAGGAGGGGTCAGATGCCCAGGCTCATGCTGTCTGCCTCCTCTCATCTCACTGAGCTGGCTCTGGGGTCCCCCGGTGACAGGTACCTGCAAGAATTTGTGCCCCTGGGCACAGGAGGTGGTCTCTACCATTTCCGGGACCAGATCCTGGCCGGGGGCCCTGAGGCCTTCTTTGTGCTCAACGCTGATGTCTGCTCCGACTTCCCCTTGAGTGCTATGTTGGATGCCTACAGACACCAGCCTCACCCTTTCTTGCTCCTTGGCACCACGGTGAGGGGGCCAGGAGGGCTGGAGGGGGTAAAGGGGGTGATCCAGAGACGTTCCTGGAATGCAGAGTGTTGGGGAGGCAGGGGCAGCCCAGAGAGTTGGAGTGGGAACGGGCATCAACAGGGGAATGTGCCAGAAATCCCAGCAAGTAGCGGAGGAGGAGGCGGCGGCGGTAGAGACCCTGAGCCCTTTGGCTGCTCAGAAGGAAGGAGGGGGAGGGCAGCTGTCAGTTCTCCCCCTGCTGAAGGCCTGTCAGTGGCAGAAATACGTGCCAGGTGCTTTAGGGGAGGGAAAGAAAGAAAGAAAACAGACCTTGCTGCCCTAGAGCAGGTGGGTCATTGTTTTGGTGTGTCTGTCTTTCAGGCTAACAGGACACAGTCCCTCAACTACGGCTGCATTGTAGAGAACCCACAGACACACGAGGTAAGAGCAGAGACGGGGCTGGCTGGGTTCTTACTCTGTATCATCATGCCCCCATCCCTCTGCCTCTAGAGAATGCTAGAAGGCAATTGGGTGGGCTCCAGTGCTGTCAACCAGGTGGGGCATACCCTTGGCTGTTCATCTTCCATCTTTTCTAGAGATTGGCAAAGAGCAAAGGCTAACAGTTAATTTCCATGGGTGCAGTGCCGCGATAGATGTATGCGCTGTGTACTATGGGAACACGAAAGGAGGCCTACACCAGCCTTGCTTGGCTGGGGGCAGGGAGAGCTCCCTGGAGGAGGCAAAGTCTGAGTTGAGTTAAATTCGTGGAGATGAAGAAGGAGACAGGAAGGCGTTGCAGGCAGAGGGAACAGGATGTGCAAGGGCACAGAGGCAGGAAACAGTATTATTGCGCCTCTAGAATTCCAGAGGTGGGAGCGGGATCCGTAAGGCAGAGGGTCTTGGTCCTTGTTTTTGCAACTTCCTGCCCCTGAGCCTGACTGACTTTCACACAGCCCTTTTCTTTGTTTAGGCGTTAGTATTAAAAATACACTTAAACAGGCACACACACATAAATATGTGTGATTTTTTTTTTTTTAAGTTTTATACTAGGCACTAGCTAGATGTGAAAGAAACAGAGCCAAAGAAATAGAATCCCTCCCTCCCAGGAACCCCCCAGTCAATGGGAAAGACAGTCAAAAGTCAACCATGGCAAATGCCACAAGGACCCACAGTGAGGTGTGGCCAGATGCCAGGGGTGCCCAGACCTGAGAAGCTCAGTGTAGGGCAGGACAAGCGCAGGCTCCCAGAGGAAGTGGCAAGGTCGACTGGGTTTTGAAAGCTGAGTTTTCCAGATGAATCACTGTGAAAGGGCATTCCAGGCACAGACGTGCAATGGCAGTGAATGGTGTGCTGGGGGTGCTGGGAGGTTGGGAGGGTTGGGAGGGAAAAGGCATGTAATTGGGACCTACCTTGAAGGTGAAGGGCAGTGACTGTGCATTTTGGGAAGACCACCCTGGCAGAAGGGAGTAGCTGGCGGTCAGAAGGTCTTAGGGGATGGGGGCGGGGGGGCGGGGGGCTCCCTCTACGGGACCCAGCCTGCCCTGTCCTCAGGTCCTGCACTATGTGGAGAAACCTAGCACCTTTGTTAGTGACGTCATCAACTGTGGCATCTACCTCTTTTCCCCGGAAGCCCTGAAGCCCCTTCGGGATGTCTTCCAGCGAAACCAGCAGGATGGGCAACTGTGAGGCGGGCCCCATGGCCCTGTAACCCCAAGTCCCCCCCCCCACCAATCACAGAGCACCCCCGCCCCCAGGCTCTGCAGGCTCCATTTCCACCTGCTCACCTTCCTCTTCCCTTTTCCTTTCCACTTGTCATCCCCAGCCAAGCCTTCCCGGTCCCCTCCCCTCTAACCTCATTCTGTCCCTCTTCCTTAGCCATCCCAGTTCCTCCTCTGTCACTGCCAGCCCACTCCCCTTCTGGTCCATTTCTCTCAAGCCCTGATGAGTGTCCCGGAGATGTCTTTCAGAACAGACGGCAACACGCACACTTGGGCGCACACGCGCTTGGGTGCAGAGACATGCAAAGAGAGAGGCAGAGACACGCACACCCCCCCACACCCACACCCCACACTGTCAGGCTGAGGCTCCCCTCAGCATAGCCCGCAGAGCCCTGCTGGCCACGGGCCCCTCCCCAGGTCATCCTTGTAGGCCCCGGACCTGTTCCCCGCCCCGCTCCCCGCCGTGGGTCCCCATCTCATGCCCCCACTCACTCCCATCCGTCTCTGCTTCTCTCTCCATCTCTCCTGGCCTCTTGTCTGTTTCTGCTGAGCTGGCATCTCTACCATCTCTCTCTCTCTCTCTCTCTCTCTCTCTCTCTCTCTCTCTCCCTCCCTCCCTCCCTCCCTCCCTCCCTCTCTCCCTCTCCCTCCCTCCCTCCCCTCTCCCCCTCTCTTTCTGTGACTGTCTCTGCCCTCACCAGCTGTCTTCCGCTGGGGTGAGTGTCTGTGTTTCATTCCATCCTGTGAGAGGGAGGGTGACCCGAGGTGGGGTTTGGGGGAGTGGATGGGGAGGAGAAGAGAAAAATGGGGGGGAAGCTATGTCCGGGCGAACTCCCTGGACCTGGGGCAGAGATGAGGTGTGGGTCCATGCCTGGGGGTCCCCTGGGATTGCACCCCAGCCAGGGGTGGGAGGGTGACGTGGGTAAGGGCACTGGCAGAGTTTCCTGGGACATGAGCATCCCTTTGGAGAAGATCTGGCCAGGCCTGGAGAGGGGGTGGGATTCCCTCAGATCCCTATCCCTGAGACACCATGTTGGCCTCCCGGGTGGGCTCAGCTGGGGAGTTGATATCCGCATCTCCTCTCTGCCAGGGAGGACTCTTCAGGCCTGTGGCCAGGGGCAGGCACCATCCGCCTGGAGCAGGATGTGTTCTCCGCCCTGGCTGGGCAGGGCCAGATCTACGTCCACCTCACTGATGGTATCTGGAGCCAAATCAAGTCTGCAGGGTATGGCTACGTGAGGTGGCTGGGGCACCTGGGAGTTGAGATTTTCAGGGGGTAGGCACCTGCTGGCCCCTGAATCCCCCGTTCCGCTCTGTGGCTCCCGCCAGCTCAGCCCTCTATGCCTCCCGCCTCTACCTGGGCCAGTACCAGCTCACTCACCCAGAACGCCTGGCCAAGCACGCCCCCGGGGGTCCACGAATCCGAGGTACAGCCCCCTGCTCCCCTTCCTCATCTTTACCCCCCACCCTAGCCCCCTGTGCCCTCTGAGTCAGGACTCCTGACCTCAGATTCAGAGGTGAAGCTCCAGTCCCTGTGCCCCCCACCCCGAACCAGGTATGGTGTGGGGTAGTTGCCCCCAGATCCTCTTTTCTGCTTCTAGGAAATGTTTACATCCACCCCACGGCCAAGGTGGCCCCGTCGGCGGTGGTAAGTGGGGGGCTAGGCTGCCAGGACGGGTGGGACGGCGCCGAGCCCCTGAGCTCAGAGTGCGAGGCTCTGCTTGGTCATCACCCATCCTACAGGCTCAAGCAGGTCCCTTCCTCCCTACCTGTTCTATGAAGGGGGTGGATTCGGGTTTCTCCAAGGCCCTCCAGGGCTTATGGTATCTGTTCCTCTCCACAGCTGGGCCCCAACGTCTCCATTGGGGAGGGGGTGACCGTGGGCGAGGGTGTGCGGCTCCGCGAGAGCATCGTCCTCCATGGGGCCACACTGCAGGTAGGCACCCCGCGGCTGGCTGGGAGGGGTGGGCCCCGTGGGCTCTGCATCTGGCCCCTTCTCCTCCCTCACCTGACACTGTTCTGTTTGACAGGAGCACACATGTGTTCTGCACACTATTGTGGGCTGGGGGAGCACTGTGGGGCGCTGGGCCCGTGTGGAGGGTACCCCCAATGACCCCAATCCCAACGACCCCCGAGCGCACATGGACAGTGAGAGCCTCTTCAAGGATGGGAAGCTGCTACCTGCCATCACCATCCTAGGTACGGCTTCCGAGGGGACTAGGGCTGTGGAAAAGCTCCACAGGTGACGGCCTTTCCCTGTGGGGATTGGACACACGTGTGCATGCGCGCTTGCTTGCTTGCTTGCTTGTGTTTATTCCTTTAGCAAACATTTACAAAGTGCTTGCTGTGTGCCAGGCCCTGTTTGTGAGTCACTGGGAGCGTGAGGCCAGGGCACAGATGGGCAGGGAGGGATTCCTCCCCGATGGCAGTGGTCCCAGCTCCTTGCCTCTGGCCTCCCCTCCCCACGGCTTCCTCCTGGTGCCCTCATGTCCCCGTTGCAGGCTGCCGTGTCCGGATCCCTGCTGAGGTGCTCATCCTGAACTCGATTGTTCTGCCACACAAGGAGTTGAGCCGCAGCTTCACCAACCAGATCATCCTCTGAGGGGGACTGCCAGAAGGCACATCCCCCCCGAACTCCCAACTCCTGCCCGCTCCCCACGAGGCTCCTGCCTGCATGGCCAGCCTCTGTCCAAAAGGACCAGAGGAAGCCAGGTGGGATTTTCACGTGCCAGGAGCAACGTGGGTGGCCGGGGAACTCCTGGCCTCCCTCTTCACTCCTTAATAAACCCCAGTGAACCTTGGAGCCAGCGCGGACTCCTGCTTGTGCCTGGGCTGGGGGTGAGGGTGGAAGGGGGGCAGCTGAGTCAGGCCCCCCCACATTAGCATTTAAATTGGAGTCGTTGCTGCGGGCTCATGAATAATGAATCTGGAGCCCTGGTAAATCTCTCCCTCCCACTGCCTTTAGCCTCTTGCACTGCTCTGCTTGGGAGGAGGGCCCCCAAGGCTCCCAGCCTGTCTGGCCCCTGCCTTCACCCCTACCCCAGCACTGCCGGCTTGCCCGCCTTCCTGTTCCTCTTCAATGGGCCTGGCTTGGTCTCTGAGTGTAAGAATTCTGAAAGGAAGGGTGCAGGATTCTGGTTGGGCTGTGGGGTGCTGGCAGTGGGCTCAGGGACTGAGAGCCACAGGCCTGCTACTGGATCACCCGGTGGTTGCTTTTCTCAGTTCCTGCCCAGCTCAGCCCCAGCCTGTTTTCTGCTTTGCCAGCACCATCTGCTCCTAGCCTGGCTTTTGGCGGGGTAGGGGGCTCTCCCCGCCCGAGGCCTGGTTGGTGTCTGTCTCTTACTCCCCTGGCAGGCGGGGCAGACCTAAGCTGGTGCCTAGCCCTCCCCAAGCGCAGTGGGAGCCCCTTGTGCTGGGAGGGGAGGGTCCCTGGCCACCTCCCACCACCCTGACTCGGCCCTTTGGGAGGTCTCGGTCCTCTCCACGTTCCTGAAGCCCCAGAGAAACCCAGCCATCTATCATGTTTGCCCATGACCCCCACGTGCCCCCTTTTGGTACCCCCCTTTCCCCAGCTGTGGGTGCGGAGCTTAGTTGCCAGATGAGCTGGTAATGATCGTAATCTGCTAATTGAGAGGAATCTAATTACCCAAAGAGAATGGGGGTGGCAGGGCGTGGGTGGGAGGGAGGAGGTGGTCCTGGCAGCAGGCGGGGGTGGCAGGCGGCAGGGTGCCGGGACCTTGTTACCAGCACCGGGGTCTGGGACAGAGCCCAGGATTTCATAGCTTCATAGCTGGGCAGTTAGGAAGACGTGCTTCCTCAGGAGCCGGGCTGAGGGTAATGCGGGGATTGGGCTGGAGGTGCCCTCCCAGCCTCCTCAGGCGCTGCAGGCTGTGTGAGAGCGTGCGTGAAAGGAGCTGGGCTTTAGCAGTCCTGACCTACGACCTGCCTTGACTCAGCCTCTTTCCCATTCCCTGTCCCTGCCTCCAGCCCAGACCTCCCATAATCTGCATGGGGTTGGCCGGGGGGGGGGGGGGGGGGGGGGGGG